TCTTAAGCTGTGTCATAACTCTTCCTGTGGTGCTGACTCAGCTCTCCCTGTCTTTTGTGTAGGAGAGCTGGAGTTAACTCCTTCCTGTTTCCTGCCTATGTGCTCCCTGCTTTGCCCATGGCCCAATGAGCCTTTTATTCCTCGCATCCCGATTGGCTCGTGTGGATAAGGGCATCCGTTTATGTATGCTTGTTTTCTGCTGAGTGACAGCTCACAGCTGAGCTTGCCCTTAGCGAGACACACAATAGCTGGAGATGCACTTCTGTGTGTCACTAAAACATGAGCTTCGTGGCTGCCATGAGCAAAGAAACAGAGTTTGTGTGTTTTATTTCTGTGTTTGGCTGAGTGGTTAGCGCAGGGCAAGGAGGCTGACTGGGATGTGCTGCTTTCCAAATACTGTGCTGTTTGCGTGGCAGTGCTTCTGTGTTCAAAACTCTGTAACTTTGAGATGTAAACCCTTTGTTTAGATGACTTATGGCAGCAGGTTTCTTTCTCCCGCTGAACCCTTCCTGTGCGCTTCTGTACACAGCCATGGCCTTTGCCTCTTTCTTTCCTTCTTTCTTTGTTGTGTTTGACCCTATGCAAGCTGTGAATTGCCAGGGAACAGCTCAATGTGCTCTGGAGTTCTGGGGGGCAAACTCCCAAGAAACACTGTGCCGCTTCAAAGCCCCAAAGCTTGGAGAGATGGAAGATGCACAGCGCTCTGCTTGGTGCAGGGCGTGATGTGCTTTGCAAGGCGCTTTCCACTAAGACCTCAGATCTGTGCTCTAACTGCATCCAAAGCAACCCACTGCCCTGTGCTTGCTGTACCTGCCGCTGTCAGTGCTAGGAGTTGCTGTGTTTGCAAGGACGTTGTGTCAGCAGTGATACGTCAATGGGGTTGTTTTATGGAAAGGAAACAGCTGAATTGTGTAGCTCAAGACTAAGGTAGAGAAAAAGATAGTAGTTATGAATGTGTATATAGACATAGACATGTAGGACTCTAGTGTGGATTCTACATAGGCCCTGCACTGCAAGGTATGCTGTTGGGAAGACGTGTCCATCTGTCTGAGGGTAGGAAGGCCCTCCAGAGGAATGGCCTGAGGCCAGTTGTACAGGGCTCAACAAGAGCAAGCGTTGGGTGCTGCAACTTTGGTCATGACAACCCCATGCCAGCTTCTCCGGGATTTGGCTGAGATGGAATTATAACCGCCCACTGATTCTAGAATGTTGGGGTGGGGTGTTGGAATCTTCTGGTCTTGTGACGTGGTCTTGCTTCCCCACCTTGTCTGTCATGGTGCAGCAGCTTGGTGGCCCTTAGTGATGTCATAAGTGGCTAGAATGAGGGGAGGAGCAGTGCGTGCTGCGTCCCTTCATTGGAGCGCTTGAGCTCTGACTGAGTACGTTGCTTGTTGCACTTGTGCACCGACTGAGTACCTTCATTTTCACACCGTCTTGTGCAGCATCTTGTAGGTAAGCTGAGACAGTGTGAGATAGATGGGTGGGCAGTGAGATGTTGAGAACTGCTGGCTGGCAGAGCTCATCTTGTCCATCAGACATAATTTTCACCCAGTACATAGATTCCCAAGCGATCTATAAAGGTGGCATTTGTCCCATGGTTTTTCCTTTGTCATCTTTGCTAATTGTGCAAGTTCACTGACCTGTTCCTTCTCTCTCCTCTGCCTGCTCCCTTGGTGCAGCTTTCACTCACGGAAGAACAGAGCAAAGTGACAAGAAAAGGCTGCGGGTTCAAGGAACTTGTCTACCTTGTTCTGATCTCTTGCCAGGTATGTGCCATGTTTTGTCCTCCACATGGTTCAGCAGCCTGTGTTGCACCGTGTTTAGTAACACAGCCTCATCCAGCCTTGATGGGACACTGGTCCTGTGTGGGTTTTTTCCACTTCCCCTCCAGCTCAGCCCTCAGAAGGATGCTGTCTGTGTGCTGTGACCAGCTAATCTTAAGGAAACCAATCCCTTAGGCAAAGAGTCCTAGCCCCAGTTTGTGCAGAGCTGCACAACATGACTCAGGGACACAAGCATGCGTGCTTTGGCTGTGTGAGTGTGCCCGACAGCTGTGGAGAGCACTGCAGAGATGCAAGCAGATGAAATCCATGTGCAAGGCTGCGGTAGGTGCCAGTGGTGAGGTTGCTGGGAGATGAGGGCTGGGGAGCAGATCCACCTCCAGCAATGATTCCTCTCTCTGCCCTGCTACTGTGCTGTCAGAGTGCCCTGGGCAAATGCATCTGCTGCTTTGCGCCAGAGTCCCCATCTGCTAGCAAAGGGATAGCCACTTGGTAAAATGCTGCGTAATAGGCTTTCACATTTGAATTGACTGAACAAAGTGGTTGCTCCTAGAACACCTGCTTATGCCAGAGGGTAGCCAAGTTCTCCAGCAGTCTCTCAGTACTGTGGTGTGTGAACAGAGGAAATACAAGTGTGTTTCTTTTCAGTTCCAGCTTGTTGTGCCTGCTGTGATGGGCAACACATGCAGCGAGATCAGCTGTGGGCGTGACGTGGCATGGAAGAAGGTAGAGTATGAAACTCTGATTGGCCTTTGTTCCCTGACTTGAGCCAGCAGAGTGAGCTGCAAATGTGCTCTCCTGCTTTTCAAGAGAGAGCGAATCCTTGCCGCTCTATTGGTGTCACTGAAAAGCTGCCTTAAAAGCTTTCTTTCCTTGCTACAGGCATCTAGATGGCTATGAAATCATAGTACCGACAGAATCAGATCCGGCGTAAAAAAGATGCAGGAGCATTTTCCCCATCCTGCCTGGATTTTGTCACCCAAAGACAAAGTGTTGTTCTCATCTTCACCAAGTTAAAGGAAGGTGGCACTTGTAGCGTGCCAAGGATTGGGTCAGTGGACCAGCTCCTGTGTCTAGTCCACAGCTGAGGTCCCCAGGCAATAGGTTACAAGAAGTGAGCAGACTCTTACGCTCCCCTTTGGCAAGACAATAGTGCAAGTGTGGCAAGTTTATAAAACTATCGGAGCCGTCTCGGTTGTGGTGTCCTCTTCCTATTTTTCCCTTGAAATAGCTGCAGAAACAACAAACATTGTATGCTCCTGTTTGGCCTCACTGTTGCTGTTGAACTGATCAAGAGAGCTTGCTTTCTGCTTGCAATCGCACCGTTTGCACTTTGTGAACGAGCTTTGGTTTCCCTCTTAACGGTCTCCTAGTATCTTAAACAATTGACCTTCCTGGACAAAGAGTGCAGGAAAGGATGGGGCGAAACGGGCAAGGCCACCTGTCCAGATCAGTGCCATTGCTGATTAGTCTGGGTAGAGAGAGATGCATCTTGGCATTGCCTGGCGAGTGCCTGCTGCACATCAGGAAGAGAAACAACTGTTATTAGACTTGCCGTTCCTTCTTATGTGCCCCTTATGATAAGGATCGAGTGCATTTCCTGCAGCTTTCTCTGCAGATGTGCTCCTCAGCCTGAAATCCTCCTCGTTTGTCCTCAGCTCCTCACTGTGGCCTGTGCTCTCTGTTTCAGACTGAGAACAAGGGGAAGCCCCTGCTGCTCCATGAGGAGTCATCTCTTAATATTCCAGCTATTGCTGCTGCTCATGTTATTAAGAGATATGTTGCCCAGGCACTGGATGAACTCTCCTTTGAGGTAAGCAAAGGTATTCCTTGTTGTCATGTGCAGAAGAGCATAAGGTGTGAATACATCAGGAATATTCTCAGACATCTTCAGAATGTTTTGTGAAGTGAAGCCCAGAAGATGCAGTTCCAGATTAGACTTGCACTGGGTTGGATGCAGGAAGGAGTTCAGCCATCTCTAAAATGCGGCTTTAGTTGGCATTTGAATCTTCTGATCAAACAGATGCTGCTCATATTGTAGCCTGGTCTCTGAGCAACAGCAGACCAGTGTATGGAGTGTGTAGATCTGTTCAGTATCTGTCCTGCTAACTTATGTCTGCAGATAACTGGAGCTCTTCCATCCCCTTTGTCAGAGAGCCTGCTGCTGTGTAACATAGTGACTCTTCTACCTCCAAGTTCAGTTGTACAAAGGCAAATGCCTTAAGAGCTGCACTGGTGCAATTTCTCTCAAGCTTAATGATATTTGGCAGTGCAGAAGAATGCAGTCATTTGAGCTGTGCTTTCCTCCCAGCCGTGCTGAAGCTGGGATTGACGTTGCAATCTCTTGCAGGTGGGAGACATTGTGTGCATTATTGCTATGCCACCAAAGGAGCTGACCCCCTGGTGGAGAGGCAAGCATGGCTTTCAGGTAGGCACAAGCATCAGACTTGAGAGCGCAACTTCAGTAAAGGCAGGAATCTCAGCTCAGAGCTGCTCTGCCTGCAGAGAATGGCTTATGCATGTAAACGGTTTCCCTGTATTGGTGTCAGAGGACTTTCCCTTTTGCTGTAGGCTTGGGCCAGTGCTGAAAGAGGAGGAAACTGCCTCCTCAATTAACTTAGAAGCAAGAGCCTTCACAACATGCATCAGGTCATGGCCACTGAACTGCACCTTCGGAAATACAGCAGCTAAGACACTGGTTTCAGTGTCTCAGAGCATCTGTGTTTGCACACAGGCAGAACATGAAGTTAGTGTCTGTTAGGAAGTTACTGGCTGTCAGCCGAGGTAGGGTAACAGACCTTTGGCATTCTTGTTGCTGCTGCTGGCTGCAGAATGCTGGGTAGCTCAGAGCTGGGGATTGCAGCTGCATCTCAGTCAGCAGAAATTTCATAGGCTGTGCTAACTCAGATAAAGCTGCATTATCATAATATGTAACTTCTATATGAAGTCTTTCTGTCCAGGTACGCTGGGATTTAGGAGTGCGTAGCATACTTGTCCTCTCCCTGCTCCGTATGCAGTTTTCTGGATCTTTTAGCTGCAAATGTTGAATAATTATTACTTTTAAGCAGGCCATTTTCTGTTGAATAGCTTTACGGAGCGTCCGGCAAGCACGTTCTGAGGTTTACCAGTTCAGGACTGAGAAATGCTGCATTCAGTATTGTACCTCTCTTTTTGTTCTCATTACAGGTTGGATTTTTCCCTAGCGAGTGTGTGGAGCTCATTGATGGAAAAATTCCAGAGTCTCTCATCAATTCAGTGCCAAAGCCAGGTATGGATGTTACATTTGATGGTGCAGGGAAGCAAAGTGGAGTCTTTTTTGGGGTGTCTTCCGTGTTTAATACCTCCTTTATCCATCCCATGTTATCCTCTGTGTTGATGATCCTTCATGCGTACCACGGGACATATGGCTGCTGTTTTGTAGGCAGTGAGATTGAGGGAGGGCAAAGGCAGTTCTCCAGCAAGTCAGTACGAGGCTGAGAACAGCCAGTGTGCCTGGTGGACAGATAGAGGTCTGGTTGTGCTAGTGATACACTTGATCAGAATGTGGCTTTTCAAGAGGATCCTTAATCCCCAAGTTGAGCAAGCTAAGCAAGAGGAGTGCATTAAGCTCCATTGGAATGTGCAGAGATTTATGACTGGACTTGGGGAAATGCTAGAATCCTCATAGAATGGCTTGGGATGGAAAGGAGCTCAAGGATCATCAAGCTCCAACCCCCTGCCTCAGGGTGGGCTGCCAGCATCCACATTTAATGCGGGACTAGACCAGGATGCCCCGGGCCCCATCCAATCTGGCCTTGGACTCCTCCAGAGCTGGGGAAAATCCTTTTTTGTATGTACTTGTTGGTAATGTTCTTCCCATTTTGACGTGCTCTGTAGAATTGTGTTGTGCTCAGCCTTGTCCAACTGAGCCAAAACTGAAATGAACTGGTTTCTTCATTTTGTTGTGCAGTGCCAAAGAAACGCGGCAAGCTGATCACCTTCCTTCGTTCCTTTGTGAAGACCCACCCAAAGAAGTCAAAAGAGCGGAAGGTGGAGAAGGAAAGGGTGTTTGGCTGTGACCTGGGAGAGCATCTTCTCCACTCAGGTCGTGATGGTAAGGGACTGTTCCTGAGATCTTCCTCTGCAGGGAATCTAAAGATGAAAGGGAGATGATATCTAGCAAGGGGCAGGCTGATGCCAGTGGAGAAATGGGTAATGGGAGTTGATGGCTGAAAGATAAAGTGAGGCTAATGCTCCTAAGAGACAAGCACATTTGTATTTGCTTAAACCATGCCTGGCTGGGCTTAGTGGATGGGACATGACAAGAGCACAGCCTGAACCAGGGCTTGAATAAGAAGCTCAACTAACCACTGGCACGTGTTCTTTAGTCCCCCAGGTCCTCCAGAGCTGTGCCGAATTCATTGAGCAGCACGGTGTGGTGCAGGGGATATACCGGCTGTCCGGCGTTGCGTCCAACATCCAGAGACTCCGGTAAGAGTGCTGCGACTGACACAGCTGTCAGTAGGGGCGTGTGCCTTGTTGTGGGCATTCAGAGGCCTGCGGGAAATGCCTTAGCAAAAAGAAAAGTTCTCCTTTTGGAAACATCCCATCCAGCATGGCTCATATGGCACTGGTGACCGAGTGTTTTCTCCTGTAAATCAGGAAGCCCTTCCCATTCTTGATTGCATTTGGTGTGTCTTTTTACTTGCTTTCCTCTTTCTCAACCATTTTTGTGTCCTTCTCTCCAGCCATGAATTTGAGTCTGAGCACATTCCTGAGCTAACCGTCCGCGACATTCACAGCGCGGGCTCCCTCTGCAAGATGTACTTCAGGGAGCTCCCAAACCCTCTGCTCACTGACCAGCTGTATGACAAGTTCTCAGTAAGCACAAGGCAACATCTTTCCCCTACATCTTCCCTGGGCCTCTTGGGAGATGGCTGCAGCAGTGCCCCAGCTCTGAGGCCCTTTTTCTGTTAGTCCCATGAGGTTTACTTTTGCATGTCTTTGCCATGTGTCATACTGATGCCACTTTTGGTGGTGCCAGAAGGTGGTTGTTTCCGTATTCATAATGCTTGCGAGAATGCCTGCGTGGTTTTTTTTTTTTTCTATTCCCCAACCATTTACAGAACAGGAATGGGATCAGTAGCAAAGTGTACTTGGAGATGAATGGCCACTGTGAGGAGCTGAGCTGCTCAACCAGGCTGTAAACCAGCCCAGTGCTTGGACTCCTTGGCCTTGGTGGCACCAGCTGCATGCTGCTATGTTCCCCAGATACCTCTTGGAAGGCATCAAATGTGCCTCAGTGCTGTCCAACAGTGCACTGTCCCCATAGTTCCTGACCCTGTGGCAGGTATCTAGGCTGATTTGTGACTCAATCCCTTTCTGCACTATTCCAGGATGCTATTGATGCCACTACAGATGAGGAGCGGCTGGTCAGAATGCAGGACGTCATCCAGCAGCTGCCCGCTCCTCACTACAGGTTAGTGCTGCCCTCAGTCTGCTGAGCTCAGCCCTGCTGCATTTCAGAGGGCGATTCCAGGCTTTGTCTCATGCTAGCAACATGATGCCTGTGCATGCTGAAGTGGTTTAAGCTACATGGGGTTAATTTATGGGGTCAGTTCCTGGGCACGGGGGCTGCACACTTGGTGCGGCTGATGGCTGCAGCTGTGCTGAGCTGGGGCTTGGTGCTGCAGTGTGGCACTTAGTCAAGTTGGATCTACTTCATCTTCAGTGACAGTAGCAATAACAACTAGCGTGTATAGAGGTTTGCTTTGTGAATTGCAGCACGGCATGCTTGTTGGTGCTGAACATTTGCCTCTCTTGTTTTCCAGGACACTGGAGTACTTGATGAGACATTTGGCTTGTCTGGCTGGGAACTGCTCTATCACAAACATGCACGCTAAGAACTTAGCCATTGTGTGGGCTCCAAACCTCTTAAGGTAAACTTCTTTTTCCGTTTCAACAGAACGCTTAGATCTGTTCTCCAGTAAAATAAAGCAATCCTCCCTTTTTCTCCATCAAATGTGCTCTTCTCCTGTAAAATCTGTAGTAAGTGGTTGACAGCAGAGGAGGAGCCTGGACTGTTCTCCAAACCCATAGGCACAATTTCTAGATGACCATTTCTGCTCTCTTGTTTAGATGGGACTGGTGTGTCCTTGATCAGCCAGGAGAACTTCTTCAGTGGCATCACCGATTGCCCACTGCGGAAGTCTCCAGTGCCCACTTTGACAGCTTTGGGCTACAGCAATTCAGACTTGGGGAAATGATCTTGGAGAAATGACTTCTAAAACTTGCCTTTTCTACAGATCACAGCAGAAAGAGTCTGCCTGTGCCAGCGGAACAGCTGCCTGCATGGAGCTGCAGATGCAGTCGGCTGTGGTGGAATTCATCATCAACCACGCAGACGTCCTCTTCTGCTCCAAATCCAGATCTGACATTGCAGATGGAGCAGGTGAGTGTCTTTCTCCATTAGCTTTATCTTGATCAGACACCTTGATCAAATGCAGGCCTTCTCCAAGATCTTTGAAATATGCTTTTACTATCGAGGGGACAGCAAGCTTCTGGGCTTCCATTAGAATATGGCATCCTGTTGCTGGATGCTGAGAATGTGCAAACCCAAACTTGACAAGAAGAAAACCGTCACAGTCATTATGGTGTTTTGCATGCAGGTGAAGCTTGATGAAAGTGTGGCAGCAAAGCTTTCTCAGTTCCCTGCCCCCATTTTCTAGGGATTTTGTTTGCCGGTTTCAATACAGTGAGCTGCTCATTAATTATGACTGTGTCCTTTGCCATAAACACGCCTCTGGCCACATGGTTATTTTGAGCTCCTCTTCTTCCAGTGTCTCAGATAAGCAAATCTGAGAAAAATACAACACCTCCCCCAGAACTGTGATAGCTGTGCTGCCGCTTTCTGATCCTCGCTCTTACTTGTGGCTTTCCCTTACAGGGCACAGTTCTCTCTCGGGGCCCAAGTCTGTATGGGTGTCTTCTCCTGCCACAGAGCTGCTCACTCTGGAGGAGGCACAGGCTCAGAGGCGAGGCCACAGCAGCTCTCCCGTCGTGACAGAGAGCAGGGACATAGAAGTGGAAGAAGGCCCTGCATCTTTACTGGGGAAATTTCACACAGTCATAGACTTTCCATCTGAAAGGTAAAGAGGACTTCCTTTTCCAGCACCTATCATCATTGTTTGGGTGGGTTTTTGTGTTTTTTTGTTGTTTTTTTTCCCCATTATTTCTAGTGCCAAACCTGCTGAAACTCAATTAAACTAATGGTTGCAGTGAATCTCCACTCCCTTTGGACTGTGAGATTGAACTAACATCCAGTTGCCCGAAGGGCTCAGTTTAGCCACACAAGGCTGGCATTCCTTCCTTGCTGGGCAGGCAGTCCTTAGATGTAGAAAGCCACGCTGACGTCTATCCTGGCCGTGCCGGCTGTACCTGGAAACGTTGGAGTTTTCTGGATTTCAAGTGCCTGAAACCAATCCCGGTTCTCCTCAAAGCAGAGCTGTTGGTCAGACTTGCTGGCACTAGAAACTAAACATGGCAGTGAGATGGGCCGATGAGCTGTCAATGTCAGAGTCAGAGATGCTTTTGAACTTCCTTTATGGCTGCACAGTTGCAACTGCCAGCTCAATAAAAGCCATCCCTTAGATGCTGTCCTGTACAGCTGTGGAGCCTTTGCTCACATGCTCTGCATCTTGCTTGACATAGTTTAGGGGAATTTAGACAGCAAGACTTCAGGGCTGAGCTATGGGAATGGAACCATCCTCAACTGTTTGAAACGAGCAAGTTTCTAAGTTGTGTTTCAGCAAAAACGAGGCAGTGCTAGGAACAAGCAACTGTTGGCAAGAGCTCAGTGCAGCTCTTGCATCACCCTACACAATGCACGACGCAAACCATTCCCTGCTTTCTCTCTCCAGACAAAATCCACCCAGCAAGATGAAGGAATCACCAGCTGGATGCTGGTGTTCCTGCTTCAGCCTGGGGCAACCATCCTGTGTGGCCAAACGTCAACTACAGTGCAGTCTCAGGGAGCCCTCAGAAACAGAAGTCATAGTCCTGGCAGGTAAGGGTGCAAATCCAGCATTCAAAACCCTGCTTTTCAGCAACATAGAATCCATGCTGTCAGTAGGCTTGTATCTCCTTCTAGTGTTCCAGCCCATACTTAAAACCTTCAGTTCACTCCTGATCAAGAACCACTTTCATAATTCAGCTTGTGAAAGTTTGACACTAACCCCTGCGTATCCTTCCTAGGTGAATCAAGCCCTTGTCAACCCAGAAAAGCCAGAGCAAGTAGCAATGATGGGCTGTGTGCTTCCATCAATGGAGAGCTCTTAGGAAGCACAAATCGCTGCAGTTCAGATGACAGCCTTCTGCATAACAACAGTGACGGACACAAGGAGCTCATCCAAGTTCAAGCCCTCATTTCTCCTGGCTCTGATGAAGATGCTGACCTGAGCCTGCCAGACACCACAGTCACCAGCCTGGACTGTGACCCAGTGCCTCTGCAGTGCAGCCCAGCCCAAGCACAGTCTGAGTGCCCCGACAGCAGCACCTCCACGCAGGAGCAGGTCAGCATCAGCGAGGATAAGCAGAGCCTCTTGGAGGGGGACTTAGAATCAGGCGTCCAGCCCCAGGCACCGGACAGTAGCACTGAGAGCTCTGAGCCACTCTCTCCGTGATCTTTCCATCCAAGAGAGGATGATTCCCATCTTTACCTGGACCTCTCATGCCCTCCTGTCTTTCACATAATAATAAAAGCACACTCGTGCTCACTCAACACCTTGACTGCCTGTGGAGTCTTCATTCACAGGGATTGGGATGAATGCAACAAACAGCAAGGCATCTCAGCTTGCAATGTGCGGCTGTGGGGTGCATGAAGCAGAGCTCCAGGCTTGTTCCCATTTTGTCTGGCTTTGGGATGCCTGCAGCTACCATTTGGTACGGTAGCAAATACTCTCTAGCATCCTGGATGCTGCTCATGATAATCCCAAGCTTCCTGGCTGTGGCTTTGTGATGCTTTTCAGGGCTTTTTGATGCCTTGGCTGCTCCCTAACACCTCTCTCTTGCTGTGTCCTTTCCTGGCTCCCACCTATGAGCTGGCTGTGCAAATCATCTGCACACCTGTCATCATCACCCTGCAGCAGGAGGAGCTCACACTGACCAATGTCAGACAGTTCTGCTTGGTCTGCAGCTCAGTGACTCTTGCAGAAGAATCAAGCAGCAAAACCTTTTGCTCATCCTGCAGCACACAAATGCTACAAAATCAGAAACAACCTGGGAAGCTCTGGGTCTGCAAGACTTCAGGGACATGCACCGACTGGGTTTGATGGTTCCCTCCCATCTTTGATTCCCCTCTACCCAGCTGCCCTGTGTTTCAGAGCATCGTGAGAGCCACGCTGGGATCTCTTCCCTTTCCTCTCCTGTAGCTAGGCACGCAACCGCACCTACTTCTCTGACAGACCTGCTGATCCCACACATGCCATCGGGATGCTCTGGCACAGGACGTGCCTCTAACCCAAAGCTCCTTCCCCCTCTGAAGAAAAAGCAAACCAACTGCACTGCCACCAGCACAACCCCGCAGCAGACAGCAGGGAATGCAAACACCTTCACTCCCATTCTGTGTGCACATGGATAGGCGAAAGGATGGGGTTTCAGGTCGACCTCTGTTGAGGTGAGTGAGGGCTCACCGTGTTGCTCCGTGGTAGATTTGTTCATGTTCAGTGCTAACAGGAAACTCACACAACACTGAAGGCCTTGCAAACATCTGCCAGGTGATTTCAGTTGCTCTTCCTTTTCCCACTGATGCTGTCGCTCCATTGTAGAAGGCCACCAAACTGACCAGGCTCTTGTCTCCATTTCTGCATTTCCTTCTTGTTGCCATATTTTCCCCAAAGCAAAAGAATTTGGAGGTAACCACCTACAGTTATGTGAGTGATTTCAGTGTCTATTTCTGATCATGGCAATAACTTCAGAGGTCACACTTAATGTACAGTGCCTGTTTTAATACTGATCAAAGTTGTAGTTGCAGCTGATTTCCCAAGGCTGCAGTATATGGTGGTGACACAGCCTTGGGCTTCTGCATTTGTGCTAATCCCACATTTCCTTTCTCTGTCCTGCAGGTCAGCTCATGCTGGAAGCAGATGGTATCCCAGTATGAATGAAGGTCAGTGCAGGAGCAGCTGCTGATGGGAGGAAGGAAGTCCATGCTAATGAGCTCTGAAGCATCTGCAGGTATGGTACCAGAGGAGGCAGCAGTGATGTCAGAGGGCTCCCCAGCAGGAAGCTGTCTCATCCAAATGCTTGCTGAGTGTTTGGAAGCCCAAACCCTTCCAGCCTCCATGCTGAAGGCAGCCCAGAGGCAACATCTCCTTGGTCTGATTGTGTGGTGCCTGAGCAAGAGGGTGATCTGAGCTGGATGCAAAAGAGTCATCTTAATTTCTCTGTTATTTTACTTCAGATCACCCCACTGGGTGACCATTCTGTTGCTTTCTTAAAATCTGGATCTAGGAGGTGACCCCTCCCTTTTGCTTATGATGAAAGCACAGAAGTGCTACGGGCACACTAACCAAGGTTGCAATCATTGCTGGAGTAGGAGCGTTTGTCCCACAGCTGGTGAGCAGAGCTGGTGCTCTGGTGAGTGTGCTGCACATGGAGACAAAGCTTTGGGCCTCCTTGGAACAGATCACCCTGTGAGAACCCATCAGAAGCACCGCTGCGGCGTGTGCGTGAGCTGGGCACAGCTCAGGCTGACCAGAACATACAGGTGAGCTGGGTTTGGTGCTGGGAAGAGCATTCAATGCCTTAGGTGTATCTTAGTGAGAAAGGTTGGCATTAGCTGCCAAAAATCTTTTCTCCTCAACTGCAAAAGGACAGCGTGGCTCAGACTCCTTAACCTGCTGGAGCAGGGTGGTAGCAAAGAGTGGGCACTGCCCTCCTGCAAGCTTTGCTTGGTTATGGTTGCCAGGTCTCTAATACCCTGGATTTCTTCTGAGAAGTTTGTTCTAGCTGCTTGGAGTAGTGAAGTGTGGGGAAGAAGTGGTGATCAAGAACAAAGACTGCATGACAATTTTGGATGAATTTAACTGTGGTATCCGAAGACAGTTTCCGTCAGAATTATCCCAGCACTGTGCAGGTGTCTCAGCTGAACCCCCTGAGCTGATGTCTGAGAGCACCTGCCTCCTCCAGCTGAGCCATAGGAAAACTAACTGTGCCCAGTAATTATAATTTTTGCAAACATTGTGAATATGCTCCCAAATGTTTCCTTTAGTGATTAGTAATGTCTCAGCACTCTGATATCCTATCTCTGGCACAACCTGGAACCTCTCTGCAAACCTTGGCTGCCTGTTCCCACCAACGTTTCTTCCTTTCTCTCTTTAGAACAGTGTGGTGCAGTTCCCTGTGTTTGTGAGCAACAACCAGCAGGCTGCCAGAGATCCAACAGCGCCTTTCAGTGCACAGGGGGACACAATGGGGATGGACGTCCTTTCCTTACTGCCATGCAGAAGGGAGTTTCTGCAGTCCTCAGTCACGAAGTATGAAAGAATCAATTTTGAATGTTACTTCTGAGCGGGCGCAGTGCTGTAGAGATGACAGGTAAGCATTCCTTTTGGGGTGCAGGAAGGAGCAGTGAGAAGTGACTTATTGGTTTGTGTTTTGGCTGTCAAAGAGAAGTTATATTTTTGGGAGCAGAAATAAGCTAAGATGGAAAACAGGAGAGAGAAGGCTAATACCTGGATAGTGGGCAGAGCTTTGGTGACTGCAACCATTTGCAGTAGAAGTTTTGCTGTTTTGCACAGTGGGGTTCAGAATGGCAGCTGATGATGAATGGGAACTGCTCGAAGGACAGACTTCCATGGTTAGCTGGGGGCATTGAGCTGCTTTAGCATGCAGTCTCTGCTCTTACTGAGCCAACAGAGACTCTCAGTGGGAATTCTGAGAACAATAGGCCAAGCAATCATCTCAAGCCATCATCTTCTTCCATTAGGAGGAAGTTTTTCACACAGAGGGTGGTGACACACTGGAACAGGTTGCCCAAGGAAGTTGTGGATGCTGCCCCATCCCTGGAGGCATTCAAGGCCAGGCTGGATGTGGCTCTGGGCAGCCTGGTCTGGTGGTTGGTGTAAACAGTTACGGACCTCAAAGTTAAGAGGAAAGAAGGTGCTGTGGAACCTGCCCTGGTGAGCTGCTTCCCTTATCCATCACATTGAGTTTGCTTAGGGTTTGCTTAGTGTTTTCTTTCTCTGTAGAGGGGAAAAGAGTTGAAGGCTACGAAGTCCAAAGCAAGAATGTGTAACCCCTTGTTTTTCCATTAACTACTTACTGGTCTTCTGTATGCCCCACTGGAAATATTCCCTGAGAGGCTTCCTAGCCAAATTTCCTTTGTTTTTTTTCTGCTATCTGCTTCTGTGGTACCCGTGTTTCTGCAATTTTGCTATTGACAAAATGAATTTATCTTTTTTTCTTGCTATAAAGCAAGAAAAAAAGACAAAAAGATAAGAGAGTGGAAATGAAGAAGGCTTCTCTGAGAGCTGCTGCTGCATGTGCAGAGGTGAGTCCTTGGCAGTTATGGGGCAGCACTGTGAGTGCCACCCAACTCATTGCTCCATGTTTCATTGCAGTCAATAAACAATCACAATTATGGACTCACAAAGAGTGCACGGCCTGATTTGTCCAGCAGCACTCAGAAGCTGCACCATCACCTCATTATTCATCTCGTGGTGCTGGGTCAGAACTCCCACAGCTCAATCTGTGAATGCTGCAGTCTATCAAAGCAATAGGTGCACCAATCCTCTGCATTGCCCACAAATGCACTGTCTGCAAAGCATGTGCAAGGAATTACGAGTAACACAGCCTGGCCACAGACATGCTAAGTTAGAGAACAGCTCCATAGAGATTTCTGAGTCGTCCCCAGGGCAGCACTCAGCATAACTGAGTGTGTGCACCTCTCTCCTAGCTGGCGTCTCTGCTGGGGAAAGAGTGGCTCTGCCTGCTGACTGATCCCAGAAGGATTAGTTCTTCTGACTCCCTTCCAATGGTCACTTCCCTCATCTTCCCCCTCTCTTCAGCTGTTTTTATACTAATTTTTACCCTACTGGCAGAGCTTGAGTGCCTCTTATCATCGCATACCTTTGTTCTGAGTTGTGTAAAATTGTCTTGCTTTGTTTTTAAAACCCTAGGCTAAAAACTCCAGAGTGCATATGCTCACTGAAGGGTTGTAGCACCATGGAAGCGGATAACTTTTGGCCTGGAGGTGTTTTTTAGTTTTATGATGAGTGTTTTTAGTTTTATAATGAGCAAATACTGTTACAAAACGAAGGAGAAAGCTCTAAAGCAGACAGTTAGGATGATGGCATGATGATGTTACTAATGTGATTAGTGCTATTATGCTATTATTAGTATGTTAATAGTTTGCTAATAAAAAAAAGGGGGGGGGAGGGGAAATGTGGGAATACAAGAAAGAATATTCCAAGCAGAAGCTGTGGAGCAAGATAAACAGCATGAGAAAGCAAAGCTGAGAACCAAGGAAGGCTCCAGAAGAGAAAAACAAAAATCATGTAAGCTGCTTGATGGCTGCATGATAATGAACCTGACTGGAGGACGAACTGCCTGGATAAGTACCTGCACGTATGGTTAAGGAGTGTCTGTATGGAATGTTTTGTTGACGTGTAAAGGAAGGTGGGAAAGTTACAAGACTATAAGGGATGTTAGAACCTGCAATAAATGATTTGGATTGTTTGCATCTGAGTCTGTGCCTCAGACACCACAATGGGAGG